TGGCATGCTTTTAGGGATGGTGATAGATTTTGTTTTGGAACAATGTCTGAATCTTGGTATATGACAGGAAAATAAACATTAATGTGAAGTTGACTGGCACATTGCCACCCAAAATGCAAATCAGCATTTTTCTCTCTGAGAAGAGAATGGATATTGCATAGGCAGTAGTAAACTCTATTTTGTTATGTCAGTTACTTGTGTGCCATTTTCTCCCAGTTCCTTAAGCCTCTTCCCTTACATTTGCATAGTGTCTGAATTTAGCTTGTGAGAGGTGGGGGAAGAACTGAGGTAGTTGACGGTGGTGGTTGAGGTTAATATATATCGAGAACTTAGCAGTGTGCTGGGCCCTGTTTCAGGCATTATCATATGTAATCTCTACCACAGGCCCTTGGGACACGTATCCTGGTTGTCTTTATTTTACTGACAAGAAAACTGAGGCTCAGAGCAATTACATAACTCACCCAAGGTCACACAGCTAGTAAGTGGTAAAAATTGGCTTTCAGCCCAGAATGTTCTGACTTCACAATCAGAATTTCTTGTCCAGCTATGCTGCTTCTCTACTTTCTGTCATCTTTAACCTTAACAGAAATATTGATATCGGTTTCTTGGTCAATTTTATATATCCCCTCTCAGCTGACCTCCAAACTGTCACTTCACCTGGCACCCATTGCCACAGGGTAGCCATCATCAAATCTATGCTTTTCTCCTTTTTTCCTCCAAGCATTGTGTTTACTCTGTGTGTTGGCAGCAGAAACCGAAAAGGAAATGCAGAAAAAGCATCTAACGGTTTTCATAACGTAAACCAAATGTTGGTAGCGTGGGTGAGCTCTTGGGAGGAGAGGCGCTATATAAATCTGACAAATAAATAAATAACTGGTTCTTTAAATAAACTGGCACTGAAAAAGCCTTAATCTGTAATCTATTGAATTTAGACTCACTCAGTAGTCTGAAGTCTCCTTTTGCTCACCAACTGTGAGTTCACTAGGCCTCAGCTCTGTTGGGATAACAAGTGGGGGACAGGCAGAGGGGCGTTAGCAGGCGAAGAGATTTGTTGGAAGCCCAGCTGCCTCTCCATTGCTAACGATTGTCTGCCTCAGTAAACAAGAGACATCTTTGTCATAACTGAATTATATATACAGAACATCCTTAGATACTTCAAAAGGATTGTGGAAAGGAGAACACGGGGTTCAAATGAAGGTCAGTGAGTAAAGTTCACAGAATGTCTTTTGAGGACAAGAACTGAATTACTTTTCTAATCTCTGCAAATAAAAGCCATTATTGGCAAGAATCTCTGAGAGACTCTTTCTTCCAAATGTGTTGGTTTTGTGACCTACCCTTAGGATATCCTTTGTCACACCCACTCCCTCAAAACAAACCATGACTGAACCATACCAATTATAGAATCTGTTCTACAGATCCCAGGCCCCCTAAGCTTTGCGTACCCTTCAGGTTCCACTGTGGGAAGGGGGTGGGGCTGCTGGCTAGTGCCCACATAGAAGGACTCTTTCCTGAAGAGGCCATACCAGGCCAACTCTAGAGTTTCATTCTGGAAGGTGAGAAGGTGAGCAAGGAACGGAAGTGGAGTGAATGGGCCTGCCAGCTGCAAAGGCTCTGGTTACAGAGCTGAGTAGTTTCATCTCAGAGCCATCAAAGGAAGTGGCTGGTGGAGGTCACCTTTGAAGGTGCTGAGATGGTGGTGGAGGGGAAAGGAGAGGGAACATGGAGGATGGGTTCCCTTGTTTACTGTCCATTCCTGCTAGTGTCAGTTTGCGTGCTTGATTACAGTAAGGCCTTAAAGTCTTCATATTTTCTGCCCACTTCAGAATTTGCTTTAAAAATTCAGGCTTGCTGTGTGCTGCTGGTGCCTGTTTTCTAAATGTCAAGCCTAAACCCAAGTTTCAAATTTACACTTCTCCAAAGACCATTAAAGGTTTCCTTAAATAACTGCAACCTTGAAAATCTCATTCCCGATGAAGTTCCACTGTAATGTATTCAACACCCCCATGAAACCTTACATAGTTTGTAAAATTTGTATTGGCCCGACAGAGTCTGATGCTTTCGATGTTTGGAATAAAAGGATCAGTATGTCTGAGATAAAAGAATAAAGATATATAAGGTTGTTCAGTGATTTTCATGTTATAAAATGATCTTTATCGCTGCTTTTGGCAAGGTAATAGAGGCACACGGAGACTAAGTGCCATGCTGGCCCCTGATCAGCAGTGTTATCTGCCCCCAAATCTCTTCAGTTTATGATTTTAAATCTTGATGTTCTAGAAATCTGTTGGCCACCTGTTGCCACAGATTGATTCAAATCAAATTCAAATCTTTGACTAAAGCTATTCATAGGATTGAAGCTAAAATTAAAGAAGTCCTTAATGATAAGATTATGGTGTTGATTTATAAAAATTCATTGAAATTAGGTATAAATCCTTTCCTTTTCTCTGAACTTTGGCTCCTGCTTTCTACTTGAGGACATACATTCACAAAAGCATTTCTTTATACACACAGGTTAGTGCTTGATACATGTTTCATATTGAGACCTGGAAATGGGGGTTACCAGCCTTCTGAAGCCTACCCCAGTAGTCAGTGATTACTGCAATGGCAGAAACCAGGCTTTGTAGACATGTTATTATTTCATCATCCTAGTAGGATTTTGATAGATAATGCATCCCCTTGTTACATATGAGGAAATTGAAGCCAAGAAAATGTGCCTTCTCTCACTTCCCTGAAGCGACATCCTGTTAAGACTTCAGATATTCCCTTTTACTAACTGACTTCCCTACAGGCTCAGGACAGTTGGCATACATCTGGATTTCTCCAACAGCTAAAGGGTACTCGTTGATTAAAAACAGTAACAAATGACTTCTTTGTTCTTATAAAATGTTGTATATTTGTTACTAAATTGTGATGAAAAGAGAAAACCAGCTAAAATCATAACCACCCAGGGCCTCCCCCGTGGTGCAGCGGTTGAGCGCTGGGTTGCGAAGCTGCCCGCGGCCTCTGCGGCGCCGGTTCGATCCCCGGTTGCCCCCCGGCCACCGGAGGAGGGTCCCACATGGCGCGCAGACCTCTCCTGCCGCCCACTGCTCCCCTCAGCAGTGTACTTTGGTCCTTCTGCCTGTTCTGCTCCCCACTCTGGCTCTGGTGAATTCTCTCACCCTCCCACGCTTCTGACTGTACCCAGTGCATGTATAAACAAAAACAAACAAACAAATAAATAAAAAAAAATGCCTCTATTAAAAAAAAAAAGTTTAAAAAAAAAAAATCATAACCACCCAAAGATGATCAATGTTAATTTTTAGGTGTAAATCCCAAGATTTTATCTGATACCATACTTTTTTTATTCAACCTGCCTATTTATAATACATTCAAATAGTCTTTCTAGGTTCTTACACATTTGCATATTTCATGTTTGATAGTTGCTTTTAACTAAGTGACTGTATCACTTAGGTCCCTTGTTAGACATTTGCACTGATGGCCATCTTTGTAGATAGATCTAATTTTACCTATGATTTCAGTATTTTTTTAATGTGCCAGGCATAGAAATTAGCCTCTTCCTGGCCGTTTGGCTAAGATCAAGTACAGAAATTAGCCTACTCCTCTTCCAAGTAATCAAGAAAAGCTGTTTCTCTGTTTATACCTATCTAAAATGATTAATAATGGAGTTAATTTTTTTGTTTGTGACCATTAGTATTTCTTCTTTAGTGATTTTTCTACTTATACCCTTTATCCAATTTTTCTATTAGGATGTTTATCTTTGTTGGTTTTTAAAGGCAAAATCTTTTTTTTTTCCAAAAATTTATTCACTCATGCATACAAGAACTGGGGTACAGGTCAGAGGTATAGGGGGTGGGGTGAGAGGATTCACCAGACAGAGCAGGGAACAGAACAGGCAGATCAACCGAAATACACTGCTGAGGGGAACAGCAGGCACCAACAATAATACCATTGCTGTGCTCATTAGAGAATTTTCCCCAGTTTTATTTTTGGTTTTGTTTCTATTTTTTTGATTATAGAAATTTATACAGTAAGGTATAGCCACAGTTACTTCATGGCTTGGCTGTTGGTATGATGCACAGAAACATTTCCCTTCACTCCAAGATTATATCAGTTTTTACACATACTATTATGGTTTTACATTGAAATCTTTAATTCATAATGAAAATTATTTTAGCACATGGTATAAAACTGCGGTTTAACTTTTTCCTGCATTAGATTAAAATTCTAACCTTAACAAATAGTAAAATTTGGAATATACTTGACAGTTTACTACTTCCCACTCAATTCCTTTGATACTACTATTGTGACTATAATATTTGCCAATATCTCATCAGTCATTACTTCTTTTAAAAAATCATTTTATCTTTAAAATAAAGTTAGGATCATTTTGCTAAATTGCCTTTTATAGAATAAGTTGCTTTTATAGACTAACTTTCAGTAAGTAAATCATTCAAAGTCTTAAATATTTTCTATTTATATATTTTTTTCTTCAAAAAACAATTTTAAGTATTTTTTTCCTTATGGACTGTACATTCCCTAATTATTATTAATGATTGCATGTTTTTATATTGCTATTACAAACCTCTGTCAGATTATTTTATTGCTATTACAAACCTACTGTCAGATTATTTTTTGTTATATTTTCTAATTGGCTGATTTGTTCTCTTTGGTCTTTAAAAATTAGTTCTATATACACATGAGAGAATGGATGAATTAGTGATCAAACATATATGTCTGTATGAATGTAACTGTGTATTAATGCTATTTGCAAATAATTGGTTTTATATATAAAATAAGAGGCTATCGCTTTGTCTTTTGTCACTCCCTGACTTATGAGGTGTGAAATATAATTTTGGGAAAAGGATAAAGTCCAGAAATAAACATTAATGAATACCTGTGCAAATAATTCCCTTAATCTGGACTTCTAATCTTTAGTGCTTAATCCTAGTAGCCATTCATCATGTTCTTAGTTAAACAATATAACTACTTTCTTCTTACAGATTTCAGAGACAACTGTCTGAACCCTGCCACCCCTTTCCTCCTCAGTCAGGAGTTCCTGGAGATAATCGCCCCAATTACCACCGGCAAATGTCAGAACCTATTGTCCCTGCAGCTCCCCCACCCCCTCAGGGATTCAAACAAGAGTACCATGACCCACTCTATGAACATGGGTTGCCAGGCATGCCAGGCCCCCCAGCACATGGATTCCAGTCACCAATGGGAATCAAGCAGGAACCCCGGGACTACTGCGTTGATTCAGGTTAGCATACATACCACACCATTCCTTTCTTTGTTCTCATTCATCTGTCTGATTATTAATTGTCTTCAATGTGTGGGACTTTGGAAAGAATTTTATAAAAATTGTCCTCAAAATGTTTAGGAGCTAATAAAAAGCAGACATGTTATATACATAGCTGAATACAAGCAGAACAGAAGCCATGCAAACAGTAGGCAATCAGATACCTCGGTGGCCAAGCCTGAAGATTGCTGGGGTCCAATCTCAGTGATGCCCTTTTGAAGACCTGTTATCTTAGGGTCACTGGACACAAGGAGCATTATTTAGTCATTTTAATCCTGCCTCTAGTTTTGTGACTTTCTTTTTTCTTAATACAACAGCCCTTACTAAACTCTCAATATAAGTATAGGGAAGAGGTCACATATAGGATGGGATTTTTTTCTGTTCTTGAATTGAATGATGTTGCAAGAACACATCTGGAATGTCAACTGTGTGGGGTGGTGGAAAGGTTCTCTCACAGTTGCCTCATGGGATTTAATGCTCTATTGCAGTGTTTTCATCTGTTCTTGTGTCCTTCAGTGGCTGCTGGTTTACACGGAGGGGAGGAATATATATGTTTGGGCATCTCTTACTTGGCTATGGGTTACCTCTTATCTACAAACTTAAGTCTATCAGTAAGTTTAAACAATACTTGTGAGCCCTCCCCTCCTTACCCCCCTCTCTTTCTACAAATTTTATAGGCCTGGCATATTAAACATGGTCATTAAGGAAATTGTACAGCTTACGTATTTAGAAATTGTTTCCTCCTCTTTGTTTCCCCTTCTATCAGATATGACTTAAACTTTTTCATTCTTTCTTTGCAGTTGGTGCTAAAGGGATTTGAGGGTGGTGGTTAGGTTATCAGCCCTTTCCCTTACATATTCTTGAAGATCCTGGGGATGGGTGAGCGGGGCAATATGTACTTAAATGACTTTTGCAAATGGAAGGGGATATTAAATTTGCTCTTGACTTTCTTTGAGATAATATGTAAATTGCTCAATTCAGGCCGAAATGGTTATGAGAAAGGCTAAGGGGGTAGGCAGAAAGGAGATACCTTTAAAAATTACCGAGTGTCAGGTATTGATAGCTTACAAAATTTCCACTGGCATTCCTCCTGAAAACTTAGATGTATTTTTCTCAGGAACAGACATGACCAGCAACATTTTTCCTTTGGGACTGACATTTCAATCTGTCCTGACTGGTTTCTCATTCCACCCCTCCCTCAAATATAACAGTCAGCAAATGATACCATATCCATCTTTCTCTGAATGCTGTTCCCCCAGGTAAAGCCTCATCCCACGTGGGTACAACTCAACTGTCTTGTCTTTCCTTTTGACAAACAGCGTCGTAACACAAAGCCTGGAGTCATGATCACTTGAGTGTGGGCCTTCAGTTTAACAGTCCCATTGTGGTGAAAATGTACTTCCAAACCCCTGCCCCAGCTCAGGCCATGTCTTGTACTAGCTGCCTAACTTCAGATCCCCTAATCTCTTCGGTCTAAAAATACTCCCACTTCTTGGAGCAGAATTGGGTGTGACCAGTAGCAGAAGAGAACAAATTGGGAAAGATCTGAAGTGATCCTTCTCCCCTCCAAACACCCTGAGACAGTATAGACAGAAGGCAAAGACTGCTTTTGGAAAGCCAATTTCTTTTTCTATCATTAACTATCTCACCAGATTTGGTGTTAAATAATTTCTAAAATGAGCGAATTATGAGAGTGAGGCATCATTTTACTCTTTCATGATTCTAGATTAAGAGCCACAAGTTCTAGTCTGAGAGGGTAGTTTCCCATGTTGCTTATTGAGTTGGTGCCCTTTTCCCAGGACAAGGTCAAAAAGACATGACCTTGGAGCAGGAGAAGGCTTAGGAGCTTTGATGCAGAGCTTCAGTTCAACTGATGTTCTGATTCAACTGCAGAAGCTATTGACACAGGGTGTGTGTGTGTCTGTGTGTTATGTTTCTTCCAGAAGTGCCTAACTGCCAGTCATCCTACATGAGAGGAGGGTATTTCTCCAGCAGCCATGAAGGTAAATAGCTGTTTTGTTGTTGTTTTTAGTAATATTTCAGCAAGCTTTATATTGCTCAATGTCCAGGCTAAGATTTGAGATCATAGTTAAACCTTCCTGAGCTCATGAACTTGTGAGCTGATTGACCATAGTCTTCCACTTGTGGGCCAAAGGGGCTGAGGCATTTTCCTGAGCACTGTGAGGGCTGCCATCATTTTCAGTCACAGTGACCCTAACTTCTAAGCTAGGGTCAATGAATAATATGAAGCAAAAGTGAATCAACCTGGTTTGCACATTCCCATACAAGAAGTTATCTAGCTGTATACAATTTGAGATGGTAGGTTAAAGGCTTTCCTGCTGAACATTGAAATTGGGAAGATTTTTCCTTAGAGCAGGTTCCCCAGAAGAATGTCTTGTTTTCTATCATAAAGATCTCCATAAATATCTAGATTAGCGTTATTTTCCCAAACCCAGGGCATCAACTTCACCTGGGACTTGTTGGAAATGCAAAATTCTCAGGACCAACCCAGACTTACTGAATCAGAAACCCCAGGGGCAGAGCATAGCAATCTGTTTTATCCAGGCCTCCGGGAGATTCTGAGTACTGAGGTCTGAGAACTACCATAGTGCAGTGATTCTCAGTTTAGGCTGCACATTAGAATCACCTGGGGAGCTTTTGAAAGTTTTGATGTCCTGGCTTTGCCCAGTGCAGTTAAATCAGAAATTCCGGGGTGGGACCCAGACTTTAATTTTTAAAGCTCCCCAGGTGATCCCTGTGTGCATCCAGGTTGCCAATCACTGTTCTCTAGAGATTTAGGGCAAGGATGAAAGAGGGTGGGTAAAACAGCACTGTGAAGCATAGGCTGGTTTTTATAAGTGATTGGTTCTCAGAAGTGGTTTCTACAGGCAACTGCTTCATACTGACTTGGTTAGGGTGCACTGGCACCCCATGATGTGCTTAGGTGGTGTCCAGCCTGGAAAGAGGACTGTCTACCAGACCTCGGACTCTGAACAGCACAGCTGTGTGGGGCTCTCTTCCAGGTTCGAGAATGTTTCTACAGCAGTAATTGATGTCTGCAGCAGGCAAACTAGGAGGGAGTGGGGGAAGAGAAGGAGGAAAACATTTTGCATAATTACAACATTTAGAAAGGAGCATGCTCTTAAAAGAAATATTTTTAGTAAGGCATCGGGCTGCTTACTACACACAGAATTTACGTGGTTTCCCCCCACTCTTTCCCATTCCTTTTCCTAACCCCACACACATTGAAGAAGTTAGTTACAAAGAGACCAGCTTTCGTAATTGCTCTAAATTACCCTGACATGGTTTTTCTATCCTCATACAAGCTTGACCACAGATGCCCGTGAAACAGTTAGTGAGACAAGTGTTTCTGATTGGCATCTGTGATTACTAAGATAGCCATCCTCCCTTAAGCGTTCACCTGGAATCTTCGCATTCTGCTCTGAATCTTTCATTTCCACTTTGCACCTCAAACAGGTTCTTCCTTCCTGTCACCTTTTTTTAAGTGATTGCATGGTTGTGGCCACAACTGATATAACTGCTGGTGCAAATTCAACTGACTTAAATTTCACTTAAACCAACAGCATTTTCCAGATGTTTTAGAGAATCACATGTGGCAATAACAAGAAACCACACAATACACCAGAATGATACTCACGGTAGGCCCTCATCTGATTACTTTGTAAACCAAACCTAGAATTTAATCTAGATATACATTTTCCCCCCAATATACTGTGAATGCAGTTTCCTTACCTTAGGGGCACAGTAGCTTTAAAAATAACAAGGTATGTAAAGCTGGAAAAAGTTCACTAATAACGACTTCATAATAAGGTTATTAAAACATCACTGAGTATCAAAATCCATATGAAAGTCAGGATGTATTTAGCTCCCCGGGAGTCAAGGCCAAAAGCATGAAGCACAGTAAATTAAGCTGTATCATTATAGTTCATTGATAATATGAACTATAACATTTTGTCATAAAAGTCAATTTCCTAGTACCAAATTTCAGAATAAATTCATTATAGGATTCACTGAATGCCTGATTTAAAAGTTAGCATTGTATTCTTAAATATTTTTATTTTTTGATGGCAACTAGATTCTCATTTATTTATTGAACATTTGTTATATACCTGATGTTATAAAAATGCTAAAATATTCAAAGCATGGTCCTTATTTTCAAAGAATTTAAGAGTACATGACAGGATATAAAATGAAGTACTTACATGATCTAGTTAATGTCTTAATAATATTTATCACATGCTCAATTACTATATATTTTTTTTTATTACAACTCGTACACTTACGTACCAGGAGCTATTCCTGGCACTCTGGTGTAACAATAATTAGATTAATGGAACAGACTATATATGTATATATATGTGTTATGCCACCATCCCAGGGTAAGCGTGTTCACTGTTGATTTGGGCAAATGGAAAAAGAATCTTGGAGCTTTACATATATCTGAAATGCCCTTAATGCAGAAGCAGGGGACTGGATATACAAGCAAACCAGCAGGCAGGGAAGCAGGCGGACAGCAACCAAGCCCTTGTGATAGCTGGCTTCCCAGCCCAGGTCACCATATTTACAGGTGTGGGTACCCCATGCTTGTACCCGTAAGTGCTTTTTACAATAACATGCTATCACATGTGGGTAATGAAACCTGGGAGAAAAACAAAGCCACAGGAGGTTGGCAATGGGAGGCGAGTTATCCCATCTTCCTTACACATGAATTCTCACTGTAACCCCATGTGGTGAGAATTATCATCTTGTGCAGTCTTCACAAGAAGGAAACTGAAACGCAGAGAGTTTAACTTGTTCAAATTCACAGAGCTATTTGGGCCTGCGTTCTAATATTTCATACTACATCATGTCTCATTTATTATTTTTTTTTATTTTACTGTCTTTGTAGTTGGGATGCAAGCTCCATGAGAGCAAGGGCCAAGTCTGTATACTTCTTGCTCCCCTACCCTCTTCTAGCACAGTGCCTGACATAAACATTTCTTGAATTAAATATAAATATAAGTAAATGCCAATAATATATACTTCTTTGTTATAGTTGAGTAACAGAGAAATATTACTGTGGGTTGAGGAACCAAAAAAGAATACTATCAACCTGAAAATAATCTGTTTCTTCTAAACTGGACAGTATTTTCCCAGTCCTAGGCCTCTTAAAAATGGTGCTGGTCCTGCCAAGAAGCACTTCATCTGGGCTGATAGGACAAAAAGAACAGCAGATTATTTCTTGGCACCTTGATGCATAGATTTTCAAGTCATAATGAATCCTTTTCAAACTTGATTGATAGCCCTTCACTTCAGAGTGGCTTCCCCTGCCTATCTCCAGAGCATCCCTGAATACGCACATGCTACCCAGCCAGCTGAATCAACCCGAGAACAGGGAGCGCCCTAGACAGGAGCTCCAGTGCTTTCCCCTGAGAAATGCATTGGTAAAGGATCCTGCACTGACACATTCGCAGGCTAGATCACAGGGAAGGATGTGGTCTCCATCAAGGCTACCTGTTAACTGGCTTTGTTTTGAACCACTGATGTTGTCAGGGTACCTGATGGCACAGTGGGAAGCACTGAATGCATAGTAAGGGTTGACTGATGCTGTCAAGCCATCCTCCCTTCTCCTTGACCCCTTCTATTTCTTGCCTGACTTACCTTTCACTTCCACTTACTTGTGTTGTTGGATTAGTCTGTTCCCCTTTCTTCACCTGTTTTGTTACCTATACAATGGATGTTTTATTGCTAGAAAACCTCTTCATATTCCTTCTGCTATGTCTGACGATCTTACCTGCAGTTTGCTTTTAAACTTACTGCTCTTTGCATTCCTTCATGAGCCAAGTCTTTGCTCATTTTGGCAACATTCTCTTTCCTCCAAGCTATTTCATAATTGAACAAGGTGTGTGGGCAGCTAGGACAAGTTGTAGGAAAGGTTGAAATTAATACTCACTAAAAGGAAAATAGCAAGATTATGTGCAGATCAACCAGATCCACCCAGTGAGGCCAACTGAAATAGATGAGATGTCTTTTCAGATACAAAGGCTTAGTTGCAGCTAGGCTGCTCCATGCAGAGCTCCTAAGCAAGATGTGAAGGACCTTACTGGTGATTCACTGCCTCCCCATAGTCTTAGCTCTAATAGCAGGTACTGATGCTGCTGACCAAGGCTCAGGTGATTACATCAGAACACAACTCCCTAAGTCCTTTTGAAGTGCCCCAAAATTTCAGTCTGGCATAGACACAGCACTAAATAGGGCTTAAGACCTGAAGTGGTAGAATCCCATTTTAGTCCTAAAACCCAGAGTTTTTGTGTAGAACACAGATTTGTGTTAAGCCACACATTCTTTCTTTGTAATTCCCCATCAGGTTTTTCATATGAAAAGGACCCCCGGTTGTACTTTGATGACACCTGTGTTGTTCCTGAGAGACTGGAAGGTAAGTAGCCCCACCCAAGGCTTGTTGCTAAGCTGTAGTGTTGGAGAAGTTACAGCACCTTTTTGTCCAGCTCACCTGAGAAACTTAAGACTGAACTGTTGCATACTTGTCTTGCTTCCAAACAGGCAAAGTCAAACAAGAACCCACGATGTATCGGGAGGGGCCCCCATACCAGAGACGTGGCTCCCTTCAGCTGTGGCAGTTCCTGGTTACTCTTCTTGATGACCCAGCCAATGCCCACTTCATTGCCTGGACAGGCCGAGGCATGGAGTTCAAGCTGATAGAACCTGAAGAGGTAAGCACTGGACTCCAATGACTGTTTATTTGCTGATGATAGTGATGATGCTTGCTCGTGTTTAGATTTCCTTTGAGGCTTTTATTGAGGCATTAAATATGCTTTCTTCTCATTCCAATTCTGACCTGGTCAGTGGGTGTGGCAGTGCCTTTCCTACTGATAGGACAATTTATAATTCAAGGACAGGTAGAGTTCTCTGCTGTAGAATATATAAAAATATTAGTAACACTTCTGTGAAATCTGGGGCGTGAGTCCATGGAGATTTACCTACAAGTGGAGACTTTTTCCCTCTGGGAAAGTTTTTCAAGTGTTGCCACCACGATAGCAACTTGTTTTGGTGTCAGCCTTCATATCCTAGCCTGTATCTGAAGCTACATGAACATATTATGTGACATTTTGTTAATATATTACAGCTATCTCACTGCATATTTCAAATTGTTTTAACCTGAAGAAATAAAATAATCAGAGATGGGTCAGTTTTATGAGCTTAGATTTTTCTTGGGTATATTATGTGGCATCACATTGGTTGAGAAATGACACAAATACTCATTATTTTGTTAATAGGAAAAACAAATTTTTCTGCCCGTTTGCCCAGAACTATTGCCTACTGATGGACAGCACCACACCATCTCTTCAGTGGGGCAGACACACCAAGAACCCTTTTCCCAAATATGATACAACAAAGTAAATTAAATCAGGCTCACAGTTCAGCATATTCTCTAGGGGCTGATTTTTAATTTCTGTTTGATTTAGAATTTAGAGAGATTATAAATGGAAAATCTGAAAATATGCTTCTTCTCGTAGCATATACTTAGGCATTCTATATAAAATCAGTGAGAGCTAATGGTGTCTTTGGGTGTAATTGAAATGGAGATGGTTCTCTTGGAAGGCATTTGAGCAAGAACTGCAGTTTTACATGTTGTGGAGCTACTTTAGGATTCGCTCTCACACAGCAAGGGCTTAATAGCAGGTGTGGGGTTAAGAGCGGGGGTAACAACCTGGCCCTTGGTTTGAAAGAAGAAAATGGTCTGAAGGTTAACTTTAGGAAAAGAAGAACATGTGGATTAAAAACTAATAAAGAATCTTATAATTTGGTAGGAAACAAAGAAAGGGTTCATTTAAAGGCAGTAATATGTAAAAAAAAAAAAAAAAAAAAAGGATATGTGAATGGCATTCCCTATCTTGTATCATTCACAAAAATGGAGTGTGTGACTATCTCCTGCCGTAAATTGCTTCTGTTAAGACGTAGCGTTTCTTCAGAGCCAGGGTTTGGTACTGCTATGTTTTCCTAAGGGTTTCTTTTTGACTAAGCCACGTTTTGGGCTTCCAGGCACCCAACCCACATTCTTTTTCTTGCTGCTTCTCCTCGTAACATGGCCTGGTTTATGTGAGGATAGAGGAAAGTAAGTCACCTAGACTCACTGAGGCCTTTGAAAGTAAATCTGTCATGTGGGCAGCCTTTATTGATTTATCTCATTTCACAAACAGGAGCTTTTATTACTTTATTGCCACTGCCTCAGGCCTAAGCACAGGCTGTCCAGCTGCAGGTAGACCTGGTTATGACCCTTTGTAAAGCTATTATTGAATCTTCTGCTCTCCTACCAGTGGTAAGAAAATGACGAACAGATGGCAAAGGGCCCCTGCTCTCCTACTTAATAAAGAAACTAATATTAATCCAGAATGCTCATAAATGCCAAGCAGCCAACTCGCGTGAGAGGCCTGTGGTGGCCTTGAGCTTCCTCGGCTGATTGGACAGCTTTGTTTTTTCAGGAAGTGCTTCTTTCCACCCCACCTTGAAATCCTCGAGCATTCCAGAAGCTCGGAATGTTCCGTTCTCCTAACCCAGGACCCATTCTGCTCCACATGTCCACTTTGGCCTCAGGACATGCAACATTTGTTAAGTTTGTCTATTCCTTGTGTAATTTTGCTGGCCCAACCCTGGTTACTGTCGGGAAGATACCAACTCCCTGAAAAAGCTTTAAGAAGTTGTTATGGGGGGAGCTTGAAGGGTGAAGCGTAGGAGGAAGCTGTTTGGGACGTAATTGTAGGCAGCTGTGTGGCTGAGTAGTGCACTCTGGGTAATTATCCATAATATCCATTACACTGTGCATGGAAATTGTGGTTTTAGAGCTGCGTTTTGGCAGGCCCCCTAATCAAATGTCTTTTGATAGTCATCCAGCTTAGCACCCTCTCAATTATGACTGACTCGGCTTTAATCTGGAGCCATTTTAACTGTGAATCTGCATTAATGAATATTTTGGGGGGTAGGGTTGTTTGTTGAACATGTGGCAGATAACTGATGCCATGGGGACGTTTGAAAGGATGGCCTGCTAGAAAGAGCCGCTCCCTGTGCTGCTACGGCTGCTCTCTCTGTAAAAGAGAGGTAGAGATACGTGAATTCTTTAACTCTCTCAGCCTCAGTTCTCAAGATGTGCGCTATCAAAGTAATTGAATGGGAAAGATGAAAGAAAGAGTTGGTAACAAGCTCTTGCCTGCTGCCCTCACCCCAGAAATGGGGCAGCCCTAATTTCCAGCTGCTCTGAAGTTGTGCTGCATCATGTCTTACTGTAGCAAGAGCAGCCCTGATGAAGGCTACTGAATCACAGGGCCCGGGCCCAAGAGGATGAGTCAGTCACTATGGCTACCAGAGCTGCTTTGAAATCTGTGCATCCACAAAACCTCTCTCCAGTAAGCTATTGCATACGCAAGTGACAGCCAGAGAGAAGGTCATCCCTGAAGCTTAAGAATATTCAGGAATCGTTGTCCACCCCCAAACATAGTAAAATGATGAGACTGGACTTCTTTCAGTGTTCCCTACATCCCTGTGGTTGATGGTAGTTCTAGTTTCATAGTGTCATTTATTTTTCTTTCTTTTTTTTTTTTTTCAAATTATGTTTATTGAGGTAAACGAGGTTTATGTCATTGTGTCTGCTTTGGGGGTTATGGGTTTAAACCTCTACCACTGTGTATTTTTACACCCTGCCCAACACCTGTGCCCAACAATCCTCTACCATGCTCCATTGGGCCCCTTCCCTCCCCCACCATCCTCCCCCTCTGGTTGCCTCAGTTTTGCAGTTAGGTATTAAGAGTTTTGCATGTTGGTTTTAACTGACCCTTGTTAGGTTTCTCTATATTCCACAGTGTCATTTCTTTTGAGCATCATTTTTATTGAACAGGGTGGAAGAACATACATTGGTTCCCTTTTTACCACAATTTCCATTGCTTTAAATTGTTTATTTTATCTAACCAGGGGATGTGATTTTTGATTTATTTTGTCTTTTGGGGTATTTCAAAGATAGAATTGAATGGGTGCAGTGTGAAAAGGAGACCCAGGGGTTTTGAGTGTGCCATAGGGGCATGAAGCTGATGAATGGAAATGTAACTTTCACACGGTTTCTTGCAAGGCAGAGTGGAATCAGGGCTATTGAATTATTCTAATGTAATTAGGACAGATGCATTCATCCTTACTTATCAGATCTTTTCTGGAATTTATTAAAGGTCATTTTAGAGTCCTGAATTAGAAGCTGTTGCCTTTCATTCTGCCCAAATACTTGAAGGAAATACTTGAAGTGAAATGCTTCCTTGTGATCCACTTTGCTATTTGCAGTCTCTCTACTTCCCACTCCATGGTTTACATCTGGCTTTTAAAAAAATCAAAGGAATATGTTTGTTTTAGGATTTTTTTTCCCTCAAATTTTCAAGACTGAGCTAAAATGTTCAAAACATGACCCCTGGTTTGCACACAAGTAAAGACCCTCTGACGAGACTCACATTTCCAGGGTTATTCTTGTATCTTCACAGTCATCCTTATAAGCAGAATTTGGGGTGTTGAAGTACTTGTGAGCAGAAACTGCTTGGTTGTCCTGATAACTTGGTGAACTCCACTAGGAAGTTTTCTTGCTGTAAGGCTTCTTTGTCCAAAGCTGCAATTACATTGCCCCATCACTGCACCTCAGGTGGACTGGGTTGGATATAATGCACTTCAGAACTGTTTGGGAAGCCCTGTTAATTTTTCATTAAGTGGATAATGGTGCTACATGTTTTAATGTCCATTCTGCAAATCTGCTGGGAGCAAAGGATTGGATGGCAGCAGGCTGCAATGATCTGATTCCCCCTTACTCCATGAGCTGCAATAAGTAAACATCTCCCAACCCCTCTCCAATCTTATTAGAATTGAACTTTTGCTCTGCTGGCCCATTAGCAACTCACTAGTGTGTTTCTAATGTTTCAGGAATGACCATTCTAATTATTCCTTATTGACTGCTACAGAAACCATAGCACTTAATGGCAACATGTTAATGGTCTATGGGTATTGGTCAATAATTCATATGTGGAGAAACAGTAGAGAGCCTGCTTCCTCTGGGACATTAGCCAAGCCCACTGCAATCTTAAAGTGCTAGGATCCTTCCATCGTCTTGAGGGAGTTAAGCGTTTTTCCTTCCAGGTCAGGGAAATAGATCACTGACCAAACCAGTCAGGCTATAGAACTGGCTTTCCTGGGATGGGGAGAGAGCTATCAGGCCCAGGGAATAAGTTTCCATTGCTTTCCTGTCTCTTCAGGTTGCTCGGCGTTGGGGCATCCAGAAGAACCGACCTGCCATGAACTATGACAAGCTCAGCCGCTCTCTACGCTATTACTATGAAAAGGGCATCATGCAGAAGGTGAGCAATTACTAGAGACACTTAGGTCTCTGACCACTTTCAAGGAGAATGTCAAGGGCTTGTGTAATAAGACTGTTTATAATGGATGGTGGAAAATATGAGCCTCGTAAGTGGTAAGAAAAGATTCTGTGGTAAGAAAAGATCTTGGAGAAATGAACTTAAGAGTTAAATGAGATATAAAAAGCACCTTTAAAACTGTGGTTACAGTTTTATATGGAATGCACAATAGGAAAATTAGGTTCTTCTCCTTCACATATATCTCTGGAAAATGTCCAGAAACTTAGGCCAACTGCTCTCTCTATAAATGTGCACGTGAGGGAATCAACTTGAGGACTTCTACTCCCACTGGAGCTTAGTTGAAGTCTTTAGTTGTTAAAACACCTACCTAGACCTCCAGTTCCATTGATTTAATACTCTCAAAAGTATTATATCAATAGTAAGGAAATCTTATTATTCTTTTGGAACCTGCAGAAACTAGACTTGTAGTTAAAAACCCAGTGTTTGTAAAATGTTAGCAGATTCACCTGGTAGCATTTGTTCTTTGCAGAATAAAGGATGATGTGTCTTTTGAGGACACCAGTATAAAATCCTCAGTAGGACAGGCGACAAAGAGCCACAACCCTAAAATGGCAGATTTTTGATTGCTCTTTCTCAGCCATCGGGTTTCTCCTACTTTGTTACCTTATCCTCACACCTTCACATGGACAGTGTACATAGGGATGCCGCCAGTGTGTACTGGAAGTCAGATGTCATTCCCACCAAGACCTTGTCTACGCTAACATCAGTTTTATCTTCCTCATAGGCTGGTTGTAATGTGACCCCACATGCCTCTAAGCACCTTAAAAATTATTAAACAGGGGCCTCCTTGGTGGCCTAAGGGTCAAGCTTCAGCACTATCACCTCTATGGCCTGAGTTCTATCCCCAGCCAGGGAGCTAACCCACACGATGCAGTAGACCTCTCCTGACTCGCCCGTTGCTCCTCTCAGCAGTGTATTTCAGGCGGTCGGCCTGTTCTGCTCCCCACTCTGTCTCTGGTGAATTCTTCCACCCCCCCACACCTCTGGCCTACACCCCAGTTCTTCTATACCAAAAAAAATCATTAAACATCTTTTCATGGTTTTCTGCATAAAATATAGACATTTGAGTGCTTCCTACAGCTGGAAGATGGTTGTCAGTCTGGAAACTAACTACCATTTCCTCAGTCATACTTGCTGCCTTTCACTTGCACGGCCATCTCTTTTAATTAATGTAGTGTTTACTAGAGAATATATGTCACATGTACATAAGTTATCAAGTGGACTATAAAATGAAAAAAAATAGCTATTAAACTACCATCCTACTTTAGAACATTCCTAACGCCTTCGTTACCTGGCCAGCCCCTTCTTGTTTGCTGTCCAAGAACCTGAAGTTTTCGGGCTGGGTTACGGAGGGCCCTTTTCTACTTCTGTTAGTGCCCGCACTCTACCTCTACTGCTGCCTGTCTCTCACTGTTATAAACTACAGCGTTCTTGTCAGTGCCTCCCACAGGAGTAAAAGCTCCTTTGGGGCAGAATTAAGGGTTTGACTTGAGTGCTTGGCACAGTTAATAGGGACTCTAGGGTGGGTGATCACCCCCCTCTCCCCTCCTTCCCTTTTTTTTTTACAAGTAAAACTTCACAGTTTTTAATAGAGTCACAGAGTTGTGCAATCACATTCTGTGTGGTTTAGAACTTTTTATCACCCCAAAGACCCCATACCCATTAGCAGTCACTTCCCATTTTCCCCCAATCCTAATACCTACCCTTTACTCTCTTTCTCTTTCTCCCTGTCACTAGCTATTCCCAACTCCAAACCCAATATGAGGAAATGTAACCAAGACACAGTAACTTGAACTGTGGCAATGACTTGTCCCTAAGACTAATTTCTAGATTTTCTAAGGAAGTGGAAGAGAATTTTACTTTTAAGAATAAATGGGCAAAGACACCAGGATGAGGCTTGTGAGAGTTCAGATCCTCACATCCCACTTACTACCTGTATGCTTGAGGAAGATCACTTAACCTTCCAACCTCTGCTTCCAACAAAAAATGTAGAAAATATCCCTGCTCTACTTTCATAGGGTGATACATGTGAGACTGTCCTAGAGATTGTAATGCACTATCCAATATAAGGGATTATCATTTATTTAGTCTATGACCCAGGAGTAAATGAGAATCAAATAAAAGATAAATAACATGCTGGTATTGATGACAGACTTAGAAAAACTGTAGTCCCACAACCCCAATTTTTGAAAGGGAAAATTAGGTTTAGAGATTCATTAATGACCAAACCGGGACAGCCATCTGCTCCCATCTTCTGATCTGGTATTATTTCCACTGTGCCCTCTTGCCTCATTCCTACACCCATGACCTGGCTCCTGGGGTGGTAAACCAGAGAACTGTGTAGAACTGTGTCTTACAAAAACTAAACAGAGATGGTGAATTTTACATACCTGCCATTTTTCAGACGGTGAAAGATGCTAATCATCCAGTTTCATGCATACGGCCCTCCAGTTCTAGTGTTTGTGTTCCAAGGAATGTTGGTACAGACACCCAGGTTCTGGTCACTGGACATAGAAGTGTCACCATAAAATAAGCTTTCAAGGCCTTGTGGGGTAATACCAACCATCGTAGCAACAGACATCTTAAACCCAAGATTTGGAAGCAAAACCATGGTTCTGCAATTAAAAAGAGATTTTAGAACCACAACAGAGTGAATGAAGGACGGGATTAACTCAGTATTTCAAGTTTTTGAGTCTAAAATGTTTATCAGTAATTTTAGCTGCTTTCCTTGCCCTCATCCACATTACCTGAATGAAGCGTATTAGATTTGCTTTACAGTGGTTTGCATTTCCTTGCACTATTGCTAAATAAACAGTCAGCAGAGTGGGGATCCCATTGACTTGATAACTTGTCAACTATATCCTGATACCTTAGACTAATCCAGACCTTTTGATTCTAATAATATTATAATGCATAAAATTCATATAATCATTGTTATTAATTCTATCCATGTAGCTTCTACTACTTGTGGAATAAGTAACTTGAAACTGTAGGTCAACCAAAAAGCAATAATTCTATTTGGCTTTGGAACAAATTTAAAATTTCCACACCGGCTCTCTGATCAAATTCCTAGCCCTTCAAAATAACAAAGCCACGCTATGAAGACTGCAGACTTTGTAGGTAACTGAAAGCGTGGTCTGACGTCTGCATTGTACCTTTCTATCCTGAGACCTTCTTAAAACACCAAGCACCAGCCTCAACATAACTGAGCTGTATGTATAAGACGGCTATGATTTTCTTTTCAAAGAGTCCATCTAGTATGAATTTGAAATTCACCTATCTTCTTTTTCAACTTTTTTTGACTTACCAAGCTGTGATGTCAACAAAATATCTAGCAGATAACAGGTCCCCAGGATTTATCAAAGCAAATCTGAATCATTCCAATAATCAGCTGATGAGTGTCCTTTGGTCAATGACTCCCTGAGAGCTTGGTGACCAACAAATAGCTCATGCTTCTCTTGGACCCCATGGCCTGCTCCAGCTGGGCCTCACAAGCTGTGTTTTCTCCCTCAGGTGGCTGGGGAGCGATATGTCTACAAATTTGTCTGTGACCCAGATGCCCTCTTCTCCATGGCCTTCCCTGACAACCAGCGTCCGTTCCTGAAAGCGGAATCTGAGTGCCACCTCAATGAGGAGGACACCCTGCCACTGACCCACTTTGAAGACAATCCTGCTTACCTCCTGGACATGGATCGCTGCAGCAGCCTCCCCTATGCTGAGGGCTTTGCTTACTAAGTTTCTGAGTGGCTGAGAGGCCAAACCCTAGAGCTAGCAGTTCCCATTCAGGCAAACGAGGGCAGTGGTTTTGTTTGTGTTTTTGGCTGTTCCTAAGCTTGCCCTTTGAGTATTATCTGGAGAACCCGAGCTGTCTCTGGATTGGCACCCTTAAAGACAGATACCTTGGCTGGGGAGTGGGAACAGGGGGTGGCAGAAAACCACCAAAGGCTGGTGCCTCAGTGCTGATCCTGACAAGGTTTCTGGGAAGAGATTGAAATGGAGCCTCCTTCCCATGGACGATATATGCAAAGCAATACCTTGTTCAGGTTAGTACCCACAAATGGGGACAGCGTGTGTGACCATCTGCATTGATCATGGACTACTAAATGCCTTTACATAGAAGGGCTGTGATTTGCACAACTTACTAAGAACAGTAGGTAGGCTAAGTTGGGAAGGCTCAAACCATGAAGGGTTACAAATAGATCTTGAAATTCAGAGAGCTCTTCTAGCTCAATCTGAAATATTCCCCCTGGGTCTAAAAAGGAAGGGGGAAAGTCAGAACAGCTGTTACCCACTCCACGGTTCTCAAATAATAAACCATTGCTACTCTCTGTTGGGAACCTTCTGGCCATGTGGTCACCAAGAACAAATCCCCTTTCTCTTCCCAGTCACATGGCTATGTGTGGATGGCTTTAATTTTAGGAGAAGGGTGATTAACACTTTTGACAGTATTTTGTTTTGCTTTGATTCGGGGGATTGTTTTGTTTTGGTGGTTGTTTTGGAAAAACAGTTTATAAACTGATTTTTGTAGTTTTGGTATTTAAAGCAAAAAAAAAAAAACCTTTTGGTAACTGTGCACTGCGTCCTTTGGACAGGGCGGTGCCAACTTATGAAGACGCTGCAGCTTGAAAGGGGCTTTGCTGAGGGCTTCCCCTTAGCAGTGGATAAGCCCACTTTATTGCCTGCTTTGTGCTTTCTGCACCAGACAGCCTGATGGCACATTTGCACCTGAGTTGTACATTTTTGAGGTGTGCAGGGCAGCCTGGACACACCGCTTAGATTCTATGTGTATAGTTCCCCCTGTTCTCTAACACGCCTCTCTGGAAAGCATATGTACATAATCCACGTCGTGTGCATTTGAAACCTGGTCACCCAGTGGGAACCCTGGGGATTCTTCCCTGGGCATGACTGATGACAATTTCCATTTCATCAGTTTGTTTTGTTTTCATTTTTCTTTAATTCTTGGACTTTAAACCCTGCATATGATTGAATAGGGTTTGAGACTTAACGTGTGATGCTGACAGGTGAAAAACAGTGCTAGCATCTTAGTTTCCTGCCACCTTTAAAAAAAAAAAGTTTTTTTTTCTGATGACTGTATTATATTGGAAATGTTTAAACAACCAAGCTAAAGCTATGTGAAAGTTGAGCTCTAAGTAGAGGACAAGTTTTTAGAAAGCGGTAGTACCTTGCTGCCTGCTCTGTTGGTAGACTCCTGTGCTCCCCAGGAAACTTAGCTCATTAAGAATGGCTGTGCCGGTCTTCATACGCGAATGACAGTGCTGATTCCATGGTAATGCGTGCTTTGAATTGTTTTTCTATTAATGGAGCACTCCATAATCTCAGTCCCCCTTATGACCAGCAGCACATTTGTGAAGAGGTTCACGGGGACAAGGGGTGCATTTTCTAGCAATGGAACATAAGGTTTTTCTCTTTTGGAAGCTAATTAGCCCACAAAGGTATTGAACCTACAGCTTGGGCCTTAATTAGCATTGTACTCTAATCAAAGGACTCTTTCCAGACCATATTTATAGCTTTCTAACCTACACATAGTCTATACATAGATGCATAATTTACCCCCAGCTGGCTAGAGATTTATTTGTTGTACATGCTGTATAGGATTTGGTTTTCCTTTCTCTACTTATCCTGGTTTGGGTTTTATTTTGATGGATTTATGCTGTCTTAGCAAGTATGAAAAGGACCCTCTGTAGCCTGAGCTACCCTTCCCTGCTGTAACTACGTGGCCTGTGCTGTCACGGGACGGCGGCTTCACCGTTGCATTCCCATTGGACTCATGTACCTCCCGGATGGTTTTGGGGTTTTTATTTGTTTTGTTTTGTTTTGTTTTTGTTTTGCTTCTTTTCCAGAGTGTGGAAGGTCTACAGTGCAGAAAGGCTTTAACCTGCCAATTGATTTGAAATCCTTTCCCCTGCGCAGGGCCGTATGCATCCTGCCAAGCTGCGTTATATTCTGTACTGTGTACAATAAAGAAGTTTGCTTTCAGTTTACCAAGTGCCTGGAACCCGCCTCTTTCTTGCCCTCGGTGGTCTACTTTGAGAGCTAGCAGACGCCACCTGGCTTGCTCTCCCATCCCTCGCTGCCTCCTTCCTTTTCTCCTCTCCTCTGTCAACTATTTAGCCTTTACCAGTTGACTCTGGAGTTGAGAGTAGTTTCGAGAATGCTTACCTGGAGAAATTAACAGATGCTCGTTGGCTTCACCTCTTAAACACTGGCTAAAAATTTGACCCAAAGGAATAGGTGGCCAAATGATGCTCTTCCTGGACAGTGGGGAGCTCACACCATCTCATTCCCTTGAACCCACCTGCTTGTATAGGAACCATACTTGAAAAGAGCTAACGAATGGACCCAGAGTTGATGAAGATGACTAACTAGACTGGACTTGGAGTTTCAGAATGAATGTAGCTCAGCCCCTTAGGAGGATAGTCTGAAAGCCATTACTTTTTTTTTTAGCATTCTCAAGTTTTGATCAAAGTAGAAATTTTACTAATAGTCGGCCCCTCAAAAACAACAAAGGGCCTCCCCTGGTGGCGCAGGCGGTTGAGCGCAGCGCTGTGAAGCTGTCCGCAGCCTCTACAGTGCTGGTTCAATCCCGGCCAGCTGGCAGGGGTCCCACATGGCGCAGCAGACCTCTCCTGTCTCGCCTGCTGCTCCCCTCAGCAGTGTATTTCGTCAGTCTGCCTGCTCTGTTCCCTGCTCTGTTTCTGGTGAATCCTCTCACCCTCCGCATCTGGCCTATACCCCGGTTCTTGTATAAAATAAATAAATCTTTAAAAAAAAAAAAACAACACAAAAGTAAGATCTTTCCTGTTTTTTTCCTAGCTGTGCAACAGTAAGAATCCTCCAAGTTTGCCTATTTCTCATGGGTATACACCACTTGGGAAAAGTGTGGAAGAAAATTGTTCGCAGGCTGTGTGCAGTATTATGCCTCCTACTATTCTTATTTCACCCTTTCGCCACACCTTTCATTGGGCCTTTTCAAGACTCCTATTACAGTAAAGAAATAGTCTTTTTCAAGCCTATAACAGAAGGCTTTCTGTAAGTTTATCTACTATCTCTCTTTCACTGTTTTACAAGCCCTTAAGTGTAGAAACATCTGAGACCCAGTCGGTGCACAGCCGCTTGAATCGGAGCTTGTGAAGGATGAATGTCTGCTACATAAACCCATTAGCCTTGGCAGATTAAGAAAAGATGCTTGGGGAGAAGGCGGGGAGCTCAGGACAAAGCGAGCTCTGCTCTCAGCTTTACCACGATAAGGCTTTGACAATCAGCTCCCCATTATTCACGGGCTCGTTATCCAGCCTGGGCCCAGATCCAGATCCTTAACCTAATGCAGGAGGTCACCAAACACTGGGCTGCCCTTCTAGTGTTGGGTGCCAGGATAAGGAAGCCCAGAAAATGGGAAGTTTACTCTTCCTCAAGGTCCCCTTTCAAGAGCCAAGCTGGAGAAACAATGCTTATTCAGTCATCAGATGACAAAGAGGTAGTGTGAGGGCAAAAGAATGTGTTTTTCAGAGCCAGAACTGTGCAGAATCTAAATTCTAATGCAGCTGGGACAAATGTAAACGAATGTGGAAGAAAAACGCTCTTGTACCCAGACAGTTGGGAACCTTGAAGAGACAGCCCATTGCCCAGTGATGCAGGTGGCTGGAGTTCAGTGCATGGCCTCTGAAGAGCACACGAAAGGGGAAAAAAGCCAGATCAACACTTCTAACACAAAGAGATAACGTAAGCATTGATTTCGTTCAACGTCAGAGGATTGTACTTTAAATAGGGGTTGGAGGTAAGAGTGCGTGTGGACAAGATGCTATGTCCTTTTGATCCCAGTAGATACTCTGGTATCCCATGCAGGAGCCCCTGCAGTGAGTGTCCAGCCTTTCCTGAGCTGAGTGTCCAGCCTTTCCAGTTTAGGCGCTGACTACACCCAGACCTGGGTTGTTGACCTTGGCAGTGAACCTTAGGTAGCTAACCTCTGGATAGCACTTTACAGCTTACAGAGCACTTTTCATGCCCATTATCTCTCTGGCAGGCCTTCTTCAGTGGTAACACTTTGTTGAAATTGAATCTGAAAATGCAGCTGTTAGTCTCCAAAATTACTTTCTTGGAATGTTCACAGTGGCTGCTGTGAAAAGTGGACTGGTCCCTGGGAGGTGGGACATTGCGGTTCTGGCCCTGGCTCTGATTGGATTTAACTTGAAAATCTGTCTCCACCTGGCCTAGCCTCCTGCATGACTGAGGGCACTGGTGAACTGTTACTGATGAGGCAAAAAGGAGTTTCCTTGGGAACTGGAGCTGGGGGTATGCACATGTGTACTTGAACTTAACAGTTAAAAACATTTTCAAGTCACCACTTTTAAGCAAGTTCTGAAGATTGCTCACTTCCACCACTAAGGCCTGTTTGTTTATTTCACAAACTTCTACTGAGCACAGGTTAGATACCAAGTACTGCTGGAAACTCACAATAAATGGCATTTTCAAATCAAACCCATTTCATGGTATGTTAATACAGGTGAAGACCGCTTAAATTTTTAACTGCTCTACTCAGCAGCTCATAACAAGTCATACGTAAATACTGACACTATCTTTTTCTGGCCACATTGACCAGAGGCTGAGCTTTGATCCACCAACTCCTGCCTCTACTGGTAGAGGATTATTCCCAATGGTGTTAACTCTTTGATCTACTTCCACCCAAGAAGAGAAGAGGGTAGGTGCAGCTATCGGTGATCTGGCATCCGTTAGCAGAGGGAGCTATAACGCAGGTGGGCTAGGAGAGCCATCGTGGTGTTGGCTATACCTACATGCAACATTGGGAGGCTCTCCTGGATGACCTTGTTTCCTTTTCTCCTAATGGTGGGTGAGTCTTTGCTTCCAACTTTCCATTAATAAACGTGTCAAACATCTATTGTGTGCAATACACTGTGGTCACACTTTGGAGGGAGGTTGGAATCACACAAAGAAAACCGCTTCTCCCTTAAACAACTCACAGGCTAATGAGGGAGACATATGTCTACATGAAACTAGAGATTACAACATACTGAGTATTATCCATCAAATAAATGGTGTCTATTCTATGTATACTGGCCCCATAGTGCTCCAGGACTAGTGAA